AATAGTCCAGTGAGCAAATAACTTACACAACTGAACAAAACATGTTATCTTAACAATATGTGTCATCTTAAAATTTTAAAACCATCGGGTCAGAACCAAAGTAAAAAATTGTACATTGACTTTGACATCTAGTTAAACATAATATAAGTACTAAGAAAGTAGCTTCATCGTACCGTGATATCTTGTCTATTCTAAAAAACATTTTTTAAACTGACACAAACACATTCACAAATAAACAGATAGAGGCGGGGATAGATAAAAGGGAGAGACAAGGTGGCGTACACACGAACCCTTATCTTTCACAGGTGCACAACCTTGTGGATCACGAACCTGCTGCTTTCATAGACTTTAGCCTTAGCTGTATGCGTCTAGTTTTTAGTTCTGCAAATTCGACCCGCGTCTTCTGGACGATCTTGTTAAGTTGGACCTTCATTTTCTGCGGTATTGATAGGAGCGTTGATTAAAACATTTTTATACATGAAAAGTACATTTTTTTTTTCGAAACGAGATCTCGAATAGCAAGGGTATTACTAGCATAGCACACAGAAATGTAAGGCTTTCGTATATCCAGCTAGCCGTAGGCCTACTGGTGTGGGGAGAAAAGGCATTGACGATATCGTTATTATCAATTGTTATAAAACTCGTCCACTCACTGAAACATTGAGAGTAATGATTAAGAATTTACTTTGAAGGAGGGGGGGGGGGGGGGGGGGTAGTAAGTGTCTTATGGGCTCAAAATGTAATATTGCAATACTCTCTGCAGAGCATTACTGTGGGCCCATGTCAAACGGATATACATGTATTTTAAAAGGACTGATTTTAAGTTGAGAGACCAATGAGAACAAGAAGGGCCTATAGGCTTGAATGTTTCATTGAAAAGGATTTACACCCCCATTGACAGAAATTATACCAAGTAGGAGACAGGCTGTTTCAACTCGTGTTTAGCAGAATTAAACCTGGCTGAGTGGGGTATACCCCCCTCCCCGCGCCTCAGCATACAGCTGGAGATGCTGAGCAAATAAAATAACTTTCTCGAGAGGTAATCGAGCTTCCGCTTTTGGTGTACAAAAGCAAAATGCCTTGCCATTGCACCACAGACGCCTTTGGGTTGTCGGGGAATGTAATGAAATTAACTGAAAACAAACCAACAAAAACAACAGGAATAAGTTAGTTACACTCTCATAAATTTGTTTTTCCGTTCGAGCGCCCGATTGGCAGGGTGACGTTGGTCTTGGAGACCCTCCAGAGAAGTAATAAGCATCCAGTTCTGTGTTCATGGATTTTGCATGGTCGCGAGAAGTCTTTTCATTGCAAAACGTTTTCTGTTTATGTTGGCAATTATTAATCACCGTAGTGACTCTGGAAATTCGAGATGCACTGGCGTCTTCTGTGATTTGAGCTCGTTCGGAATTCATATTGGTCATTTTGGATTTCAATTTCGATGAAGCCGTGGACGCGTAGGGCCAGTCACAATTAGCTGGTGACAGAGCCGTTGGCATACTGTTTGAAGACAGTCTTTTCTGGCTTGCTGGTGGCAAGAACCGTCGTTTCCATTTTGATACTGATAGTGACATACTGAGCTTGCTGTCTTGACTCCTTTTTTTTTACAGACCTGTTAGTGAATAAAAAGACGTACATTACATGCACATACACGTGAATATTTTTTGGATCCCACGGCCCTCATAAATCCTCCACTCAAAAGGCCCCAAACTACGATAATGTAAAACAATAAACTGACCAAAAAAGGCAATAAAATCACATTTCACCGAAAACTGACAGCTATGTGGACCTACTGCCTCGCTTTATAGTAGGCAGGAATTTTTTTTTTTTTTTTTTTAATTTTTTTTTTTAAATCTTACCACGCGAGAAGTGTTTCTTTTGAACACACAATGTCTTCTTCGCCAAAACTGAGGTTCACCCTTCTACCCATTGTTGACATGCCATCTTCGCTGGGTGGGCAGGAAGGGTTGTTATGGTAGAAAATACAAGTTACGATGGAGACTTTGGTTTCTTGCAATGCGACGATGTGTGTTTGTATGCGCCATGCGGCTGACGTGGATCATTGGTTACCATAGATCTATCCTGGTGCTTTAAAAAAATATTAATTTATCTTTTTAAAAGTGTTCCACAACTCTTCTCTGGCGAGGCTTTATGGCTGTTGTTGTGGGGATGGAACCGCCACTGCCGCTCACAGCTGCCGATGTCTGGTAAAAGGTGAGTTCTCCTGAGGCTTCCTTTTTCAAGTGCCCACCCCGGAGCTCTTTGATCATAGAACGATGCATGCAGCTACACTGACGGGGCTGATTCTAGAGAAAATTTCCATCTGACCAACCGTGTTAGAAAATGCAAATACATGTAGCCTGCATGTAAAAAAAAAAAAAATCACAATCAGGATTTCACTTCCACAGCCAAGACAAGGTCAAGGTTTGATGCTGGGATAGTCTTTGGTTAGAACTGACGTAAAAACCAGCCATCATTAAGGTGGATGGTCATCCTTAGTTTTAGAGCTACGTGTATTAATTGTATCCTTCCGATGACAATTTCAAGCTGCAGGAAAACCACTGAACACCGTTGATGTGTGCGTTTCCAGAAACAGAGGACACAGAGGAGACTGTCATTGTGAATGTCAGGTAATGAGCAACAACACTTTTATTACCATTTTTGTCTGAATTTTTATTCACACACACAAATTACAGTTTGGAATTCGTCGCCTCAGAACTATTTTTGTCCCAAGTGCCTCTTTGCATTAGTACACTTTGGATTATTGTCTGCTCTCAGAACCAGAAGCAACAATCCGAAAAGAAAAGAATTACATGTATATGAATCCCATTCCAGGGGACAAGGAAAAGAATTCTTCTATAAAATCATCCGCGACGAGTCTTCATATATAGAAGAAGTGCCCAGAATCTCAAGAAAACATCTGAGATCCGAAATGGAGTCTGCACCCCGAACGCTAACACAAACAAGCTATAATCATTTTCACATAGGCCTACATGGACACCCACCCATCCAACCAAATATGCACACATGTACATTATTTATACATAATATATATTTATGAGTATGAGTTGTAAGTCAGGTAATTATGCTGAACACGGTTCATGGTTAGTTGATAATAATACTAAAAGCAACTGTTCGTCTTGAAAATTAAAAGATATTAAGTTTTTTTTATTCCATATAGTTTTGACATATCTACTTTATACAGTGCGGGCCAGATACCTCGACTGCATGGATTTTATCTCATGAAATTATGCGCAATACATGTATTATATATTGCTATACCGTAGGCGTGTCAGTTTTGGTCTCACTTTTGAAAGCTTGGATATTTCAACCGATTTCACCCAACTTTCTCCTGCTTTGGCTAGCCAGATAGAACTGCTATTTCCCTTGCCCATGCCTTTCCCTCCCCGCTCTTTTCTTTCACAAATATCTATTTACACGCACGTGGATGTGTATACAAGAGTATGTGCACACCCACATACACCCTCACC